TCATTACTTAATTTATGCATTAATTTGATGATCGATTTTGTAGTACTAATTTGATTGACTGTAGATCATCTGTAGATTAATTTTGCAGATCTAATTTCAAGGGTGACAATAAATTCATTGAAAATGAAACAATTAAAGAAAATAGTAAAAATACAGTTAATGAAGAAAATATGGGTAATGCGAATAAAATAAGTGAAGAAATTACATAGGATTTATTAAATATCTATTATTACTTAATTTTGACATAATTTCTAATAAAAAAAAGCATATTAATATTTGATTAATTGATGGTTATTTTTCACGTGTCACTTATTGTTTTGATTGGATAATTCAAAATCGGAAATTTTCGGCAAATATGAAAATATGTGTAACAATGGACGGTCCAAAAATGGTGTAACATTAGTGACATATCAATTATCCCCTAGCAAACCTCAAGCTCCTTTGATATTTCACATATTTTAACCACATTCATATACGACTTCGCGACACTATTTTAGAGTCCTATCAACAAGAAATTTAAAGTTATCTGACGCCAATATTTGGGGATACTTGATATCTTCACGCGTGATTCGTTGCTTTCTTTATTTTGGCAAAGTGAAATCCAGAGTAGTTTCTTTGAAATAAGGTCTACTAAATCTGGAAGAAGGAACCCTAGGAAGATCGAAATATTCTGTTGATTATAATTTTGTGTACTAGTAAGTGCTGTTGTCCGAAAGGGAACGTGTCCTTCAGGTTCTATCCGATAATGATAACGCGATACAACCTACAAACCCGAGCTTGATGAGATCGTCTCGTACAGAAAAAGATACGGATGTCGCCAAAGTAACAGATGAAATATGTGATACCTAAAGATATGATGGATATGATTGATACTTGAAAGATGTCGGAAAGGATAAAGAAATTCATGGACCATTCTTGATTTTAGAAAGCTGCAAACTCAACCGTCAACTCCGACTCCAACGGGCTGGTACTACTAATTATAAAATTTAAATATTAGCAACTATATTTTGCACGTGATTTCTTATTTTTTTTTAAAAAAATTTTTATATTACAATTATCAATATTTGTAATATTTGTAAATATAAAATTAATAAACAAATTAATAAAATTAAAAGTTATTTGTCAAATATGAAATAAAAGATTTATAATAATTTTTTCGGTAATTAGTAACAGATTAAATCAAAAGGGGAAGGAAATATTTGCTAGTAGTTGTACAAACCGAAACTTTACCGAGCATTATGAGAAACCGATTTTTTACTGAAATTTAATGATTCAAACACCAATAAAAAAAAGACGTGGGAGGCCTCCTCTCTCGATATCAGCAAAAATTCGAGCAGTTTTTAAATTTTGCCCCATATCACCAACTCATTTTCAAGATTTTTCTGATAATTTTGATCCACAAAAACTTTATCCTGAACTTTGGGCAAAACGAACGTTTGTAAAAAAGAAAAAATATGCAACTCTCAAAGAAGAAAATAAATTTGGTTATCTTAAAGAGGAGTTTGAAATATCTGGTAAACAGGTAAGAAACATATTTCAACTTTCTAACATTTAAGGTTATTATGGTATGAAATTTACCGGTCTACTTAAATGCTTAGATCCAAACGACAGAGCATAGTCACGATAATTCTACTGCTGCGACAACTATTACTTCAACACCTGTTCGATTAAAGTTAATTGTGCGAGATGGAAACGATACTAATGCAAGTTTTAACATGTATAAAAAAAAATTTACATTTTAAGTAAAGATTAATAATTATTTGATTTCTGATCGATTTTTAATAGACCCCAATCAAACCACCAAGAAAAAAGAAACCTAACCCTTTAGATCAAAAAGAGGAATGCTATCTTTTACATAAGTTACAATATGCTTCAAAACCATTATCACCTAAAGCCGCTAGATTAAAGAGAAAATTACTTCTACGAAAAGTAACATGAAAAGATATTCATTGATTTGATATTTACTCCTCTTGATTTATATATCTAAGATACCTTATGATTTCTAGCTAAAAAAAGATAAAGGAATGAAAATTTTTGATATTGATGCAATCGTCACAGAGCACATGAGATCATCTTCACCTCTTGAACCATTGACACCTGATGACGAGGAGGTACATCCTCGTGAAGTAGTTATCGAACCATCCGTTCAAGATAAAGTAGAGAAAGAAAAGGAAAATTCTAAACAAGTAATAAATCTTATGAAAGTATTCCTTCAAAGTATTTTTGAACTTATTGATGAACTGCGGTACTTAAATATTATTTAGATCACGTGTACGCCTTATAAAAACTCTTTCGCATCTAGACTATATGGAACTCCTCGACTCGCATCTTCTCTTACTACAGAAGAAGCTTGGACAAGTCCTTTCAGTAATAGAAAATTGAAACCATTTATTCGTAGAGATTACGAAACCATACCACCAAAATTAAATTTATTACAAGATATCATAAGATACCCGCATCGGTATATATATTTGTGTGTGTATCATAGACCATCGGATTCTCAATTTTAATATTTGTTGTTTACTATAAAATAGGAATGATCCCAATTGGTTACCACCACCAGTTAATCCTATAGATTTCTGTTATTTCCAAAGGGAACACTTGGCTCAAGTTAATGATCTGCTGCAAAAGTGTTTTTGGCCAGGAATCGATGGTAAGTCTTAAAACCCTTACTTTAAAGGTTTAGAGTGATTTGCTATTTAATTAATTATTTGTTTGGGAAAATCAGTTTCGGAAAATCTTCTTTTCCCTGATTTTAGCATTGTAACCATGTATAAACGATTAATAATTGGGTGTGGGTTTATGACTCCCGAAGCTTATATTACATACGTAGCTGTTGCGCCTGGATGGGAAAAATCAGGAATTGGACAGTAAGAACTTTATTTTGCTAATTTTTTTTTTAAAAAAAAAAATCTCTCACAATTTCCATCCCTCTTAAATATCAGGTTTATGCTATATCACCTAATTCAGGTTGAATGTCATTTATTCGCAGTCATAAACGTGAAATATCTTTCTAGATGCTAATGTATTACTTTACAATTTTAAAATAGACGAATATCGGTAAAGATGTTACACTTCATGTTTCGGCAAATAATCCTGCAATGGTATTTAGAATTAATCTCTTTTTTTTTCTGGTTTATAAATAAATTAACATTAATAATATATATTGTTATATAGATTCTTTATCAAAAATTTGGATTTAAGCCGGAAGAATTCATTGTAAATTTTTATGATAAATACTTACCTGATGGAAGCTTGGAATGTAAAAATGCTTTCTTTGTACGATTGAGGCGATGAATAAAGGTAAATCCTACCACCATTTTTTATTCTTCCATCTCTTTATTTTTTCCTCTCTATCTACAAGATAATCATTTTTTTCTATTTCGTACGCTCTTTCTAAAGTTTTCCAATCGTCAATTTCTTTTTGTTCCATCTCCTGCGGGCATCTCACGGCATTACGTAATCCCGGTGTATATGGATGAATAAGTTCTTCCATTTTTTTATGAAACTCATATATCTTTTTAAAATTGGATAGTATTTAATTTTATGAATTGGATTTTGTGAATTTTTTAGTTTAATATAAATTACTCATTTCATATGATAAATTAAAAAAATTTTAAAATTATTAACATACGTCGTGAACTCCTAGCAATGTACTAACTCCAACAGCAATTAATCCACCGGCGGACACACAAAGTATTGAACCAACAGCCAAAGCTTTTAAAGAAAAGAGATATGGCTTAAATCGAGATGATGAGTTTAACTGAGAAGTTGTTGTTGTTGTTTCTTTTAAATATTCGGATGCTTTATAAGAAAAATGACGAATTAATCATAATTATTTAAAAAAAAAAAAAAAAAAAAAAGTGACTGCAAATTTTTATTACCTTTACGATGAGTATACCAAGCTGAACTGGTTATACCTGTGAAAAATGAGAGCGCCGACAAGGATAATATTAAATTATGAGAATTTGAAATAGGAGTTACTTGTGTAGTGGAGGTTGTATCATTATTGTGAGTCATTCTACTTTGAAAGAAAATAAAAATAATAAATAGGTCCGACAATTTTTAAACTTTATTTTTGTTGTACAGATTTTTAGTTGACTTTTTAATCAATCAAAAAAAAAAAAATATTTTTTTTTTTCACTTTTATTTATTTTAAATAAACATTATAATTATAAATTAAAATTTTTTTTTAAATATAATAAATATGTAATCTAAAATAATACCTAATAATAAGGTTGTTGTTGTTCATGAACTTTATAATTGGAGGCAAATGAATCATCATTTCCCGGGGAGGGAATTTGAGAAAATCTTTGTTGTTCTGACATTGGCAAAGTAGAAAATTCTTGACCAGGAGAAGAATGTTGAGAATAATCTTGTGGTGGTGGTTGAGGTGTTGAAAAATTAGAATGTTCTTGACCAGGAGTAGGAGGATGTTGAGAGAAACCACCTTGTTGAGGTAATAGATTAGGATAATCTTGACCGGAAGCATAAGTTTGAGGTGGATTAGGATAATAATTATTCTGATTTTGTTGTTGTGGTTGAAATGAAAGTGGAATCACACTCGAAACATCATGTTGTTGATTGGGAGGATAATTTTGTTGAGTAGGAGAATAATTATCATTCTGATTTAATTGACGTTGATTAGGTGGATTAAACTGATGAAGGTCTTGATGAGATTGTACAAATTGTTGTTGTGGAGGTAAATTACTATACATTGAAGGGGGATGATTGTTGAGATTGTTCTGATAAAAAGTTTGATTTTGAAATTGATTATTTGGATTATTCGGAATATTGGGATTATTTCGATCATTTTGTTTGTTCTTTGTACGCCTATAAATGAATGCAGATATAACGACCATTATTAAAAATGCCGCTACCAAACCAATCGATATACCAACTATTAAAGTTTTTCTTGGTGTAGAGGTTAATGATGAGGGAAATGGAATTTTATCTGTATGAGTAGGAGTTACTGTTCCAGAAGTTGGGGATCCCTCAATATTAGTATACGGGCTACCATCCAAATTATATCTTTTCATTACAATTGTCGTATCATTTAAGTTAAACATATATAATTTATCATTAAGTTTTCCGGTTGGAGGTACATCGGTTATATTGCCTTAAAAAAGAAGAATCGAGGTGAATCATGTTAATTATCTTGGAAAGTTTAGGAGATGAAAAAAACAAAAAAAAAAAACAAGTTCATACCAAAAGAAATAATCATAATGTAATCAATTAATACGGCCGAATGATAGGTAAGCGTTGGTAGATTTGGATCGTTAACTTTAGGTATCGTCCACCCTAATGTAACGGTATCCAACATAGCAATTGTTTCTTTGGCCGGATCGTCTACTTCTTCTCCTCCATAAATAACAATATTTCCATCATCTAAAATGAACAAAGAAATAATATATATAAATATATAAAAATATAGGAAAAATAGAAGTAAAAAAATAATTTACATAAGACGGCGGAATGACCAAGTCTGGGACCTGGTATTATGGGTCCTGCTGCAGGCTATATAAATTTTGAAATAAAATCACTAAAATTCATCATCATCATAATTTGCGATAATCATTTATAACTGATTCACAAACCTTTAAAGACCACGTATTTGAAAGAATGTCATATTGATGAATCTGTGTCAACGGGACAAAAAGACCTTGCGCATTCAAACCAGCGATGTAAAAAATAACACCATTCACTAAGGTTGCGGTGTATGAATATCTACCAATCGGAGCATCAATTACGCTACCCACATCCCAACTTAGATTAATGGTATCCAAAATATCCAAAGAATTAGCAGACTTTATCTTATCATTGGCATCAAAATAAAGACCTCCCAAAATGTAAATCTTTCCTTCATAACTAACCGAGTTAGTTAAAGCTCGTTTTATAGGGTCAATCCCTTCTATAACTGGTAAACTCAATACATTTGATACCGTATCATACTGATAAACCAAATTCGTTTTTGCTAAACCTGGTAAACCTCCTATAATAAATATTGAATCTTGATTAACGCCGCCTAAACTACTTGTATGCATCACCGTAAGCGGTAACATCACTTGACTTGTTAAATTCACCCATAATGGTGTATTAGGATTATCTTCGAAATTAAGATAAAAAAATTCACCAAAATACCCTTTAGTCAATCCTCCTATGTAAAATATTTTGTTTTTAATGTAAATTCCTGTTTGGCCCGTTCGAGGTACCGGAACGAACTTTTGTCCATTTATTAAAAGAAAAAATTGACTAAATATTATAAATATCAGATGAATTTTTAGGGTCTTATTCATCGTTCAAATTCAAGTCCTTGAAGAAAAAAAGGAGGAAAAAAAAAATCTCCTCATTTTTTATGTATTCTTTTTTATTCGAATCGAATCACTCGTACAAAATATAAACAATCCTTGTGATCGGTCGCTCATGTCACGTGATTGATTAAGAATTATTAATTCTCTCTTTTTTTCACATTGGTTATTTACTTTTTGTATTTAAATCTACGTACTATTTTGAAAATAAAAGATCAAAAAAAAAAAAATTATATAATAAAAATAATAAAAATAATTATTAATAAAATGTCATTCAGGTCAGGTGATATATTGAGGATTGCATAAGGCCAAATATGCTTTTTTCGCGACCGAATCTTTTGCATCCTTTTTTCTTTCACAGTGTTCGGACCTGAACGCATGGTTTCTGACAAAAATAGAGCAATACCAGCCTCCCCCAAACTTTTCAAATTCATACTTAATCTTTTCCCCCGCTTTAGAACAAAACATTTCTGATAAAAGTGTTGGGAAAGATTTGTACGTTCGAACACCATAAACTACTTGCGGTCGATATATAGTTGGATAATACAAATATGATGGGAAAATCTGTTGTTCGTATGGACATTGAAACCTTGATATCGCATAATCAATATATTGTGGAGATAGATTTAACTCCTCTTCATCGTTGCTCCATTCTTCCTCATTATTTGCCGCCCTTACTTTGACGCTCGTTCCTTCCTTTTCCGTCACTTCCTCTGTTCCTTGATTGTTACAATTTATTACCTTTTTTTTTGCATCATCCATTCTTACATCCTCCTCGCCCATCCCATCATCATCATCATCATCATAATCTTCATCATCATCTTCTTCTTCTTCTTTTTCCAAGTTATCAAGAATATTCCATGGTTTAAAAACTTCTTTTCTGTCCCTATTTAACGCTAAATATTCCTTTTCATATGATTGATTAAATAAATGGTTAAAAGCCATTTCGGAGGCTCGTTCTCTGATGCATATTTCGTTACGTGCCACACAATCAGCTTCTTGATGAAAGTCACCAATCGATACCTTCCCAATAAATGAATCAAATACTTTCTGAGTATCATAAACAGGTTCAGCAAGGTTTTGAAATTTACAAAATTCTTTCAACATGTGACATGGGCATTTAAGGTTTATGTTTGGATTTTGCCTTCCTATGGATGCTTGGTGGTTAAGCCAACTAAAGCTTCTTGGTTTGTTTCCGATAAATTTCTTCTTTGATCGTTGATTTTGATTCTGATCCTTTGGTTGTATGCTTTCTTTGGAAGTTGCCTTCTTTTGTTCTTTTAAGTGATTCTTTTGAAGTCTCTTCTTTTGAGGACGTGTATTCATGTACTTATTTTTTTGAACTTTTAATGATTTGACAAGTCTCTCCCGTAAATTTGGTTCCATGTTTTCCATAATATCATTAAACGCCATCCTTGCTACATCTTCCTTTGCCCCTAGAATCGTAGTAAGTGCCGGATGTGAAGACCATGACTTATTTAGGAAATTAAGAGTACAAGTAATCTCTCCAGAGTTTCCTCCTGCTTGATTAAATTTGTATCTTGGGGAATAAACACGTAACTTGTAACTGATGTCTTCAAGGATGGTTAATGGATGCATACTGCTCGGAAAAATGGTTTTAAGATCTATTTCATTATCAATCTCGATGTCACTTTGCGCCTCTAATGTGGAAATTTTCACTTGCTTATCATCTTTCTGAAAGTCATCGAACCTTTGTTGCATTGTATATGAAACCCCTTGAGATGAACTACCAGCTTCCAAATAATTTTCCATATTCTTCGTATTTGTGTAAATTTGTAATTTGTAAGTGTAAAAAAAAAAAAAAAAAAGAGGGAGGAGGGGGTTTTGTCTTGAGAAGAACTTTTTTTTTCTTTTTTTTTAAAAAAAAAATCAATCAATCCAAATATATATATGTATGTATATATATAGGTTAATAATTAAAGAACGCGTGATTATCTGGTTTTTCAAGTTAATTTACACAGTTGATAAATTAAAATTAACCTTTGACGCGTTTTTTCTTTACTTTACAAGTATTTTTGCACAACCTATTTATCTAAAATTATCTTCCCGTCATGCTTTTTGCTTGAACTTTTTCATCCCAGATATTGAATGATACAGAATTTTCCCTGTTAAGATGTATGATCACAAGATAACAAGATAACTAGTGTAACGATAGGATGATTTACCACAATTGTAAAAAAATAACGGGAGTATTTTACAACTCGGATCTCGATAAAGTAGGTCACATAATAAAATCTCGTTATTCCAATGTCAATTAATTTCTTGAGTGAAATTGAGTGAACACAAAGAATAAAATACGTGTAACATCCCATGTTAAACATATCGTGTTTACATAAACACGATTATTTTTTTATTTTGAATTATATTATTTTAAAAAAATATAAATGTCTATGAAAAAAATGTCTGTGAAAAAATAAAAAATTCTTCCCAAAAATAACGAAAGAGAATTATCTAAATGATATCTTCAACAATTTTCTGAGGAGCTACATCCTCAAATGAGATCCTATATATAGTTGTGAATAGAGGGAATCTTTTTGAAAGAAAAAATTTTGAAATTAGATTTTTAGTATATGATATAATTTCGAAACATAAACATAAAATCATTCATTGAATGCTTACTCCCGTTCTAATCCTTTTCGTTTCAAAACCATGTAGAGTTCTTTCACGGTAAGCGTGCCTTGTAATTTTTGACCATTAAGTAGTTCTTTCTCTAATTGATCAAATGACTGAGAAAAAAACCCCCCGTAGAAGTTTTTGGTTGATTAATTGAACGAATTTTTTTTAATTTTCACGTAAAATAAAGAAAAAAATTTTTTTTTGATTTACCTTTCCTGTAAGAACGTGCGCTTCGGCAACCTTTCGATTTCTACCACCATAACAAGAAGTAATTACATCAGCGATACCACAACTTTCGGAAAAGGTTTCATCCTTAATACCTTTATAAAACATTTTAATAAATTTTTTCATTTCTAATAAACCGATTCGAATGATGGCGGCTTTAGTGTTATCTCCCATTTTCAAACCATCAATTATACCCGCACCTATAGCGATAACATTTTTTAATGCACCACACAATTCAACCCCTACAACGTCATCAATTATACCGACTCTATAATATTTTGTTTCAAATAATCTTTTAAATAATTCTCCTTCTTGACGGTTTCGATATCCGATGGTTGTCTCTGAAAACTTCTCCTCCGCAATCTCATTGGCAATGTTTGCACCTGAGAGTGTACAAACTGGAACATTTAATGCTTCATGGATCACTTCTGACATAGGACGAATGCCCGTGTCTGAGGTATCAAAACCTTTAATTAAAGTGATCGCTTTGGCTTTTGTATGAACCTTTCCCTTTAATTTATCACAAACATCGTGCAAGAACTGATTTTTAAAAAAAAGAAAAAAAATTTTTGTTAAAAAAAAAAAGGAAATTTGATGAAAGAAAGAAAGAAAAAGAAATACCTGATGCGGAATAACAAATATTAAAATAGTGGCATCTTTGATGGTTTCAAAGAGATCAGGTACGGCTTTAACATTATCAGGAATTTTGTATCCAGGTAAATATTTTACGTTTTCATGCTTTTCGTTAATCAACTCGGTCAACTTTCTTTCACCTATCTTCTCCTCAAATACCCACATCTTAACATCATGATCGAATCCTTTAAGTTGAAGGACATTCCCTCCAACGATTCTTGCAATTGCGGTACCCCTGTAAAAAGTAGGAAATGTTAAACAAATGCCACCTTTTTTTATTTTTTTTATATCGATTTATTCAAAAGATAATTTACCAGTTTCCGCTTCCAATCACAGCAACCTTTTCAACGTCAATAATTTTCGATTCTATAGCCATCGAGCGATTATTTTTAATAGGATGAACGAAGGATTTTAAAGAGGAATAATGATTTGATCGATTTATCTTGTCGAAGAGGACTTGAGAGAAAAAAATTTTGTTTTTGCCTTCTCTTAAAATTGATCTAAAAAAATACAGCATTTATATTCAAAATTTTTATAATCCACTTTAAGCTATGATTACATACATTTATTGATGATTGCATATTATTTATTAATGATTGCATACGATTTTCTAATATTGCTTAATATGTTCAATACGATTACATCAGATAATACCTAAATTAGTGAAGAATAATAAAAAGGAATTTCTTCAAGGATTAAAAAATTTAAGTGCGCCCAACCTGTCATTGCTAAACAAGTTTAATACGTGTGGCGCATGAAATTCCAGTTGTTTTAATTCACATGTCATTTGAGCAACTTTTTTTTTTATTTTTAGACTTTATCATGTGATGGATTTTACCATCATTAAATGTGGAGTTTCAAATTCAAACTATACTAGATTTAATCATTTAATGTCCATACGTTTTTAAGTTATTTATTTTTCGACATTGAAAAAGAGTATATATTCCTTATGCAAAAGATATTCCATACTTTTTGTCTGCCAAATATATACTCTGCCTTCAGGTACAAAATTATCAAAATCACCCAACAACCACAAATCCTTTTCAACCTTTTTTAAATACATCACGTTAAAATGTTTTGTGGATCATTTCGATAAAAAAAAAAAGGTCAGCAAATGGATCGACCAAAGACCTTCCAGATATCTTAATGTCAAGCAACGTTAATGCCATCATTACCTAATTACCACATTCATTGGTTCGTGAATTAGATGGAGGTCCATCGGCATACATGAACAGTACATACAGGAATAGATTTTGTGTTACATTGAATAATATTCGCAATTGTAATTCAATTTTTATTTTCATTTGTAAGTTTTATTATGTTGATCTACATTTTATTATTTAAAAAAAAATTTTTTTTTACCAACTTTACCAAATTGTTCTTCCCGAGTAATCTTTGAAAGTGAAATATACTTCCAAGATAGTATTAAGATCCAAAATGTTCTTTTAAATTGTTCAAGTTTTGATTTGAGATTAACGAACATCCGACCAAAAACTTTCCCATGTCCAATATAAAGGTTCGCATTGCTTTCCTAAAACCAGTAACGGGTTAACTATCTAAAAACTCTCAGGTTATCAATTTTTCTTGATATTCATCATCAATGTCTCAAGCACCCTTATGAGCTCCGTAATTGAATATGAATCCATTAGTTAACAACATTCTGTATTGAAAGATGTTCAATATGAAATAATTCACAGCCCATCACGTGATATTTATAGGATAAATGAAAAATTACCAAATTGAGAACATTATAAATTTTAAAAAAAACTATTGAATTTTTCGATCACCCCTGAAAAAAAACCTGATCTACGTGTATTACATGGGGATGAACGTCGTATATTCCAACAAAAATTTGTAATTCTTTATTTATGATGAACAAATTGGAACAAATTATAATTTATAATATATGCGGAGTAGTTTGCCTCATGGTTACATTGAGACACATCCAAAAAGTTCCTCTTTTTAACCATGACAAACTTTTATGATTCGATTAATTTCCGGAATTAAAATGATGAGAGATTTTTTTGAGACCAAACATACCTCTTTGATCATGAATTCAACGACGCTATTTTAATCATCTTTAAATTATAATTGTTGACTATATCTGGTAAATTTTTTTAAGCTTTTTTCATTAATTCAAATGTGTACCATTGTTCTCTGTTTGTTTGTTTTATTATTGTGACGAGTTTTTCCGTGCTTTTTTGGAATTTCTTCGAGCCGCAGATCTTTACTTTTACTGCGCTGTATGTACGGCGTCACACGAATAAAAAGGGACAACTGTTGAAATTTATTTGTAACAGAAAAAGGTAAAGCGTTACAAAAATCCGAATGTAATGATTTTCATTGGATCAGATAAGAGGAGATATGAAGAGTGCTACCATAATAAGAACAAAAGTTAATTTAATTTGACCCTTAAGGTTTGCTTGGTTAATTTGTAACGTTGTAAATTTCATTATAGCTTTTTTTTCCTATTGTATAACGTGATATGTACATATGTTATTTAACAATACAAACTTTAACCACTCCATTTGTCGCATGATCAAACTTTTTTTTTATCGATCCCATTTGCGTGATTGTGCGGTTAATTTCTTTATCTGTCCATGCGTTTTCTCTTTTGCTTATATTTGGGAATTCCATGACATATAATGGTTCCTAAATTCGTGTATTTTTTTGTGTAATTCTTTCAAATTTGGTCAAAAATAATTTATGAGACATTTTAACGGGTGAACTACTTTTTACCATGTACAACAAGAGGTTTTATTTTATTTTTTTTTAGATTCGAACGCGGGATTTTTTTTTAATTACTCGTTTTTATACAGGTTAAGGGAGACTCACCTTTTTTTTTTATTTTTTAAAATAAACTGTTATTCATTGTAACATATAAAAGTCATATGAACGATTACAAAAAAAAAAAATTAAAATTATGATTGATAGACAATTCATTCTGATAAACGTCCGATATAACCTTATCAGTTATAAAAAAAAAAAAAAAAAAAAAATAACAATCATCAAAAAATGTTCAATAAACTTTTTTTAAAAATCCTCAATTATAACTATGTACAAGTTTTTTCAGTTTAGGCTGCATAATGCCCGTGCCGTCCGTTACCTGTTACAGGTTGGTTGTGCTTCCAATAAAATATAACTTTTTGCTTGTTTATTTCTGTTTATTTCTTCTCCACATTTTTCTTTTTTCACCTAGTTAAATTTTTTTTTTTTTCCTTTTTTTTTTTTCTCTCTTTTGCCTCTCTTTTTCTTTATTTTATTCCTTTCCTTTCCGTCCACATCTCGGAAAAACTTTTCAAAATTCTATGCGTTTGGACGGTGTATAAAGATTTTATTTAATTCATTTTAACAAAAAGGTTCGAACTTAATAATATAAAGCATTTATTTTTTAAAAAAAATATTTCCCCATTCCCTTTTCTATTTTATTCCCTGCCCGTTTAATGACAGTTTCGTGTTTTCTCTCTAGACGATTAAGTTTCATTAATACTACAACAATAACAATATCAACAACAACAACAACAAAAACAACAACATATTACATTCTATATCTGTATTTATTTTTAACATACTGGAGTACAATAAAATAAAAAAAAAAGTAGACGTGTTTTTTCATGACCATATAATATTATTTCTTTATAATGTTTAGTAAATTCCAAAAAATTGCGAAAAAGGCTGGCAAAGAATCAAAACAAAAAAAATCAGGATCAACCAAGGCCAAGGATAACGACAATGACAGCAATAATATTGAGTCCTCTAGTAAACAATTGGCGGTAGCCGTACATAAAAATACCGGTACCGCTATTAATTATTTTATATCGAGGGCTCCCGGTTTGATACCAGTAGTTGTTAACACAACAAAGTTGTTTCCTAAAAAAAAAAATAATCGAAATCATATTAATAAGGAAGTTGTTCACAATCACAATTTACCTCAATCTCTGAGTTCCTTTGATGCAAGATCGAATACTTTGGCTCCCTCTTCAAGACGTGGTTCTAGATCTTTAAATGCGGTAGAAATAGAAAGTGGTAAAGGTCACATCGATCATCAAAGGCGTCCTTCTGAACCAACCCCTCTACGATTAAATAATATCATTATAATTGATGATGATGGTAATTACACACCTATTAAACCTCGGGGAGTACCTGCGATAAATATTCATGATTTCGATGATGCCGTAATCGAGCGAGAACAATTATTCTACCCCGTCGATCACTCCACCACTTCAATTTCAAATGTTCACATTATTAAGGAAGGATATCTAAACAAAAAAATTGATTTCGATTCGAAAATTTCTTCAACCTCCCGCGGTTGGAAAGTTTATCGTGTCATTTTAAGAGGATCAAAATTATATTTTTATAAACCTCCTTCTGAGGCAGTTTTAAAAACTTTTTTTCCAAATAATAAAGACGTACCGATGGGAAAAGATATTTCTTCAACACTTTCTCCTGTAATAGCGAATGATCGCGGAATGAATCTTAATCCTTCCAATTTTGAATCTAATACCGCAAAATTGATTTTTGAAGGTGGGTCAAATCCTTCCATCGGTGGAGAGTTTCGATTGATCGGACCTCTTATATCAAAGTATTATTACGGTGAAACATGTCATGAGGTGGATCGTTCGGTCGCTATGAGATTCAAGAAGCATGTATGTTTACTCATATTTGAGGACAATATAGTTATTTGTAAACGTAAGTGGGTGAGGTATACCGCTAACTTTAGACCTATAATGGATGCGATGGGATTTGGTGGTGGTAATCATTCCTTGGTAAATGTCTCCTCTTCAAATGGTGGAGTTGAATTCGGTGGTCAAGATGTTGATACGAGAAGCGTTAGTAGTACGCGTGGCATCCCTGAAAGTGATGGTCCAACAACGAATAAGGGGAAAGGTTATTATACCAAATGGAAGCTCGATGCCTGTTATTCAATTCATAGCGTTGAAGTTATTCCGGATCCAAAATTTCCGATTTATTCTCCTTATATCGCCCCTTCTTCACAACCATCTTATTACACTTCTACAAACAGGACAAATGATATTGATACCTCCTCACTTCATTCTGCTTCTTCCTCGGTTTCCCTCGTTGCAAATGCTACCCCTTCCTCCGGTGTGATCCTTAATTTAAATATAACTGATGGTCTTGATAAGGATAGTTATCGTGTTTTTGTCGTATCGAATACTGAAGTTAGATCATTATGGATGGCGAAATTGTTTGATGCAAAGAAAGCAAGTTTAAGAAAATTGATGTTGCGACAAGGAGGCACCCCGGCTTCCCCTACTTATGATCTAAACCCTTACGGAGAGCAACACAGCCCTGTCGGATTACATGATCATAACCTACCCGGCGAAGGTGGATCAAATGCTGTTCCGACCGTCAGAAGAAGAGCCTATTGGGGAACCGATAAGCATCCGGAATTAATTCTGAAAGAAATTTTACCTGAACATGAGAATGTGTCGGCCACGACGTCACCCGTTTACCCGTCACCTCCCGTGGTCGAATCACAGAGGCTTATTCGCGGAGGTTCAATTGATTCATTGATTCATGAGCTCATATTTGAAACTCAGAAAGGTTTAAGGGAGGATGATGATGATGATGATGAATTCCTTCATGCGTTCCTGTTAAGTTATCACATGTTTACCGAGCCAACTTATTTATTTCGAGAATTACGTCGTTGTGGTAGCATGCAAAGTTCCCTCAGTGACAATGATAAACGAAAGAAATCAAACGCTATAAGCAAAAGACTGATCACCGTTTTGACCATATGGTGTAAGAATTTTGCCCGAGATTTGTCGCGTGATGAAGTGTATAATGAGATGATGGAAACTGTGAAAGTTTTAATAAATGAAGGTGTTACTGAAGGTGAAGAGTTAAAAAAATTGATACAGGAAACTCGTGTCAATCCTCAAAGCGTCATGGATGACTATGAAGATGAACCAATAGTTTCTCATAAGGGTCCTCCAACCCCATTCTCCTTAGATCTTTCCAATTTACTTATCACAGGTTTAACTCCTGCTCTGTTCTTAAAGATGATTCCAGAGGAATTGGCTCAACAATTGTATATTTATCATTTCCTAGAACTTAAAAAGACAAATCCAAAGCAAGATCTGAAAATTTTCGTTCCGTCAAAACACCGACCGGATTCATACACAAGGGAGAATCCATTAAACGCCAACCCCGCCGCTCCTCATTTTATAACGAGATTAATATACCATCATATATTAATCTCAACTCAGCAATCAGCTTATACCAGTCGTCGACCTTTATTATTGACTCATTGGATAAAGACCGGTGTAGCATGCAAAGCGTTATGTGATATGACCGGTTGGATGGCAGTTGCTTCGGCCATTTGTTCACCTGCCATCGTGCGTCTAAAAGAAACGTGGCGACGCGTTGATAAGCAGTGGATAAATATTATTGTCAAGGATTGGGTTCCGATTTTGGTTACATGTGGCGGTGTTAGTGGTGAAGTTGATATTGAGAATGTCAAAGCTTTATTACTTGTTGTGAACAATAATAAGGAGAAGAATAAGACGAAACCCATTCCATACTTTGGGTTCATCACACTCGCTTTGGAAAGATTAAATTCCACTGTGCCAGCTATCATCGACCGATCCACCAATGACACAGCTCGTGTCGGTTCAAGGAATAATAGTGTTTCGGGCAGTGTTATAAATTTTGTAAAGTACTGGAGATTGTATGATACTATCATCGAATCCCTCGCTCAGTGGCAACAAGCCGAGGATTTCAATGAGTTCAGTGAAGATTCTTGCCCTTTTTCACCTTCCTCCCCTTTACAAAAATATTTTCATCAATTGAATTCCGTTCCCACTTCTTCAACCCTTGATACTTGGCAATTATTTGATTCTTCTTTGAGTTGCGAACCAATACTTCATGGTCAATATTTGGAACATCATGCTCGTCAACGAAAATCTCATTCTACATATTACCCTCTGGTTTTCACTGAAGTTATACCAACGAATCGATTATTCAAAAAATGTGCTTTCTTAAACGCTAGTGGAACTTTAGGTAAAAGGAATTCTAATTCTTCTTTAAATCTTGGGGATGCTAATCCTGCAGTGTCATCACCCGGACGTTCCGCCATTTCTGCTCCCACAAACCTCAATATGGACGCGATACCAGCCTCAACCTCTAGTAAACCGAACTCTCCTAGTCATCTTTCTGTACATCCTTTACGTGGTAACGTTAGGAAGAGGACTTTATCCTTCCCACTGGCTAGAATAGGTCCCCTGACTTCTACTACCTGGAATACCGGGTTGGACCTTGTCACGAGAAATTGGTTGGGTGGACTCGTTCAACATCGTGGAGGTTACACGGTTTTGTTGAAATGCATGAAGGATATTGCAGGCGTTGGTGAAATGTTAATGTTTGTAAAAGATGGAGAGTTGGTCTTCAAGTCTGTAAGGGATGCTACTGGGTCTCGTCCTGCAAGTCTGGTGGAAAATTCTTCCGGAACAGGTTCTAAACGCAATTCTGCTCATGGTCTTTTTGCTTTAACTCAACAACAAAATTCACCACGCACAAGTATACACGCAAACGGTGATCATGATGCTCTTATGGTGGTTGTTAAAGCCGGCACTTTGGAGCGTTTGGTGGATGTTTTAATAAATGGTGTTGCATCTTATAGCACAAGCGTCTATGATGACAATGGCGAACCTCCTTTAACTATCGGAAAGCAAGGACAGCTCGGAATTAATTCTGAAGAATATTTCGCAACTTTCTTTAGCACGTATCGTAGCTTTTGTGGTCCTATTTTGCTTCTTGACATTTTACGAAAACGGTTCATGAACGCCAAGAAAGTTTCAAAAGAAACCGTCGAACCTTCAAATCAAATCGAAGTTTCACCGAGCCTAACGCGTGATGATACCAGTTCAAAAACCGAATCAGTGCATTATGATTGGAATATGGTTGCTTCAATTCAATCAAAAGTTTTAAAAATATTTAATTATTGGATTTCAGAATTCTTTTTTGATTTCTTGGATGACTTAACTTTGAGAAATCGTTTAATGCATTTTATTAATGAAGCCAGAACTGAAGTGAAAAATTGGTCTGAACTTGTCACGGAAGAGCCTGTTGTAATCCTTGCTGGGGAGATTAAAGATTCCTTAAGATCATTGAAAAGGTTGGTTATAATAAAGAGCCTTGAACCAGCATACGACCTTCCTGATGAAAAAATGACTTGTTTTGTAAATAAAGTGATGAGTAATCAAATATCATCCGCGGAGAATGATAACAAAGCAACAGAAAATAATGATAATTTGGATGTCCCTTCATTAGATCATAGCGTCGCTTCCGATCTTTTGGATAGTTTTGATTTAACCGTGCTTGGGTTGTTTGAAGCGATCACACCGCAAGAATGGATTTTAACTTATGAAATCCTTGAAACTCAATCTGCAGATGTTCTTGGCTGGTATCCGAAAAAACAATCTTTATGGATTTCGGAAGATGAAATCCTTATCACAGACATATTCACAACCATACAACAGACAGAAAGAAACGGAAAATCTAAAGAATATATCCTTAATTCACTTCCTCGACCAATTCAATCCTTATGTCGTATGCATTACGCCATACGTAACTGGGTGATTCAAGAAATCGCACAAACATCTATCGAATGCGAAAAACGAGGAAAGCGGATAGCTAAATTGCTTGATATGATTTTATTAAGTCGGAAGAGAATGGAAAAATTGGACATTTATCCCAAAGACGAAACTGCCAAGCAAGATTACGAATTTAAAAGAGGAGTTCCCTCCTTTGTTGAGAGTTCAATAGTTAGCGGTTTGATAAGTCCAGAGTGTAGATTATTCACAAGAGCCTGGAACGATGTTGCAATTAGTCGAAAAGGTGGATTAGATTCACTTGACACTTTACTTCAAATTGATTTACTTAAGCTTGTCGACGATTTACATCCCAATTTCGCTTTAGTACCATGCGTTGGTTGGTTATTTGAGAGAATGTTGGAAATTTGTTGTAACGTTCCTGATATGTCTTTTGAATCAGAAAAGTTGATTAATTACGATAAACGTCGCTACGTATATAATTTGACGCAAATATTTGTTAGATTACAACATGAATTGAAGGAACGATCTCATGAAAGAAAGCCTTCCGTCGATGTTGGATTCTTGATGAAGACAAATTCACACATAATCGCTTCCAAGTCGGACTTCCGATTTATTAAGGATTATTCTTACAAGGAAAATAACGTGAATGCAACACAAAGAACAGCCAAGTTCCCAAAACCGTTTAATAAACTTATTTCTGAGCAACAGGATAAGATTAGACGCGACCAGAAAGAGAGAGATCGTTTAGCTAAAGATATACGTGACACTCAGAATAAATTACAAAAGAAACAAAATGAACTTGAAAAACGGTCCAGAACACAGCAAAGACCACGTAATAAGTCTAGAGTTGAAACTTTTATTAAACAAGTTGCACGACCCATTTCTATTGCTTTGGCAAATACTTGGCATTCTGGAAATTCCGCGAATATAAGAAATTTACCTGAAAAGTCTCATCACTCATCTTCTAAAGTAGCACTCGTTATTAATTTAATTAACTCTGAGGCGTCTCCCGATTATGGCATCACACTTGATTTCGTTTTTCGAATAGTAACTGAGGAAGGAGGACAATACTTATTCCAAGCTATTGATAATGACATTATGAATGACTGGATACGAGTTATTAATGAAGCGGCCATAGAAGGAGCGGAAAAACGTAAAACTATATTAAATAAGGAACCAAACATTGAACCTAAAGAAGAGGAGGTTCCCGATGAACCTAAAACGCGAAGCTCCGGTAAGTTTAATTGATTTTATTGTAAGCTTTTTTTTATTTTATTTTTTTAATAATACGTGAGTTCTGAAACGTCGATTTTTCTTGATCCATTAGTATATGGTAAAGATTTAGAAACATTGATGCCCGATGGCAAGATTCCAGTTTTGGTTGAAAAATGTATAACAGAAATTGAAAAGAGAGGTAAGCGATCTAATAAGTATCTAAATATTAGATGAATTATTTTTTTATTTTTTCCTTGTACTAAAAAAGAACATGATCATATTTATTTATTTAGGTCTTACGGAAGTTGGTATTTATCGGCTTTCCGGAGCTACCAACGCTGTTAATAAACTTCGTGCATCTTTCAACAAAAGTAAGTTCATTTATTGCATTTCTTATTATAATTGGTGTCTGATTTTTATATTATTATTTTTTTTTAATTAGATGCCGATGCTGTCGACTTGAGTGGTGAAGAGTACAGAGACATTAATGTCATAGCAAGTGCTCTCAAACTCTTCTTCCGTGTTTTGCCTGAACCTATAATAACTTATGAATTATACGACGCTTTCATCGAGGCTGACGGTAAACCGACCAACCTTATTTTGTTATTGCCAAATTTTAAATTGCGATGATTATTATCGTTACTAATATTTTTTATTGCAATTTGCCCCTTCTAAAACATGTGTATATAGGCCTTAAAGATCATGATGAAAAGCACTATTCTATTAAAGATCTTTTGAATAAACTTCCCAAAACAAATTATGAGTTATTAAAAAGATTAATTGAACATTTGGAAAGGTAATTTAGCATTATATATATATTTATCTGTTGCTATTTAATAAATTATTTGTTAATCGTTTGATTTTCCTTTTTGCTATTAAAGGGTAACTGATTTTCAAGAAGTCAATCATATGTACGCAAGTAATTTGGCTATCGTTTTCGGACCCAATTTACTTAAATCTAGGGATGATGCAAAGACCATATGCAATCTAGGTCATCATAATAGCATTGTCAAATGTTTGATTCTTCAATATCATTGGTTCTTTAATGTCGAAGAGGAAGAGGTCTCTGAAACCGAGTATCAAGATGATCTTTTGGACGATCCAGATATTGAAACTAGTGAACCTGACGGAGGAAATGTGACGGATGATGTTTCATCATTTGAAAATTCTTCAGGGAATGATGGCACATGGCAAACGAACGAGCCGAATTATGATGAATCAAACAATTTAATTAATGAATCCGGAAGACGTTCAATCATAGAAGAACATGGTGAATTCTCGCAAGAAAATTTACAAGAATCTATAGAAGAATCATCTAAGCAAGGTTCTGATTCAGAACAACAGCAAATCTATAATAAGCATAACTACGTTGAGGACATTAACAACAGAGATTCAATACTAACGAATGTAACAGAGGATCTAGAAGGAGAATTGGAGGAATCATTGAGGGTACCGGAGGAGAATACGATACATGAGCAACACGATGTACCTTTAAAACATTCAGATATAACTTTTGAAGCTAGTCATCGTGATTCCGCTTTGACGCATGCAACAGAGAAATCAGAAAATGAATCGACAGCAGAACTTGTGAAAAAGGAAGATTCAAAAGAACAAAATATTAACAATATATTACAAAACTTTAGTGAAACAGACTGGAGTTTCTTTGATAATTTATCAACAACGAATGCAACTACGAATTCCAAAAGAAAATCCAGGTATTCAATAATGTTTCTGGGTAAGCGAATTTCCCAAGAAATGTATAATAATGAAATAAATCTAATAGATTTTGATTCTGATTATGAAACATTGCAAAATGATGCTGAGGGCTCGAATGATTTTAGTGAACATTTAATGGATTATATTGACAATTATAAAGAGCATAACTCCAAGTTAGATATACCGCTGCGGCCAGAACAATTTGTTCGTCAAGAAAAAAGTGAATCAGATGTTGAAATTTTGAATCGAGATCCCGTTATATAGGACCAGTAATAATGGATCAAGATGATTGATATTGATTCGATTGTTCGACGAAAAAAAGGCAGAACTCTTGTTACTCCGTTAAGAATGTTGTGAATGGAAATTGTAAAAAAAAATAATGACGCAAGTTCACAAATAAATAATAATAATTTTAAAAAAAAAAAAAAAAAAAAAAAAAACCGCGGCGCGGTATCAAATATAGTGAATTAATTTATTTATTTTATTTAAGAATTAGCATAGGCTTCATTACACAATTAAATATCATTTCAAGCAAAAAAATAAAAATGTTTCTTAGTATAGTTAGTTATTTATGCTAAGGACTCTTTTTTTGTGTGTAGTATACATAGTGGTTTTTCAAATAATAATTTATACTTTATCAATTTCTTTTTTCTTTTTTTTTTTTTTAAAAAATCAATTCTGTGTAATAAATAAATTACGTGTTTTAGGGACTACTACATACAGTAATCGTTTAAATCAGTAAAGAATCATGATATACGATTAATTTATTAAAAAAATAATGAATTTTTACGGTTTGTTTTAATAAATTATTAATGGATTTAATATGTGACATCTTTATAACCTTTTTTATATGAAATAAACTAAAAATATTAAGACGCGATAAAAAAATTTTTTTTACAAGTATATCGCACAAATTTTTTTTATTAAACATCGTGAAACGATCAGTATTTTCTATGCAAATAAAATTCTTTTTTTGTTCTTGTTCTCAGATGTTAGTTTGTACCAATAACATTTCGCAAAAGATAATATATAAGTCACTGTCTATCTATATATAAAATGTTTATTACCGGATAGAGAAAAAGACTCTTTTCCCATTTTCTCAAAAATGACTCGAAAAAATATTACAAAAAAAATACTCAAATAATCATGGCTGTACTTCATCACCAGTTAACAATAGAACTCCACCACCACCTGCAAAAAGATAGCAACTAGATCAACAACAACAACAACAAATAGAATCACTTGTTCAGTTAACATTGATGGTCAACACAAAAACTCCTTCATAAGAAAACGTGGATGTTGACCAGCAGGGTGGACATACTTATATCACATGTCGATCATTTTGCCGATCATATTTTGTATTATCACATCAGCGTTTGCA